ATGCAGGGATCGAACACCCGACCTCCAGACTAACGAGCCAGCGTCTTACCCACTTAGCCACCATGGCTCCCTATAGATCGATGAGATTCCTTTTGCTTAAAATGACGCATCTGGCCCCAAGTTGTTGGTCTTATTTTAACTAAAATATAACCCTTTTATTGTTTTAATGTATCAAATACACCAATAAGAAACTATGTTTCCAAGTTTTGTGTTTCTGGATCAAAGATATTTCTCGTGACTGAAAGTACATTAGAATACTTTGTGACCTCGGGGCCGGTACGTTAAGAATTTAAAATCGACCAATTTACGAAGGCGTTAATTATCAGGCCTATGATTCAGATGACAAAAAGAACGAAGTTTTAAATTATTTATGGATTCCTTTATTCTATATTTTAAGTAAGATCTATTCCGTATCGACTAGCCACCCACCTACAAACCGACATGATATGTCAAAAGTTCCATCGTTTTTTGGTTTTTTTTAAAAATTGTCTCATCACCTGCTTGTTTTTTTAGATTAAAGTATAGCTGAATTTTTCTTAGAACGTGTTTAAATGAAATATAAGATTCCTCAGACGGGTAATTATAATATTAACACGTGCCTTCGATATCATCTTCTGCCCATACTTCACATCATGATGGCGACATGATGTTTGAACAATACACACGGTGTTATGAATATTGATATCCATGATATCGATTAAAATTCTAAAGTTTTATAAAAACACTCGATTACTGCTAATTATTAAAATTAAAATAGAAATAATAAAAGAAATTGGGTATAAATATTTGTTTTGTTGGGTTTCCTGCGTCATGTTAAATAAAAACACAGTGTTTGAACTCAATTCCTGTCTGAGTTTTTTTTATATTTTTTTTGTCTTTGTCAAGAAGCCATTCTCGTACGTTTTGTTTTTGTATGGAAGAGGATTAAATGTCTGTTGCCGGCTTTCCGCGGATTGTTTTCACGTTTACACGACAGCGTGCACGCAAAAGAATCTTTGACAATTTGACTTCAATTGCTGCCCGGGCAAAATTTCCCTCATAGCACACTGTATGGCATATGCCCGTCTTCATTAGCCCAGTATAGGAGCAGAACAGTAGGACGTTAAACCCCATTTCATTTCATTTATATTTTCTTTCAAATATCATGTGATTCATCACACACGCATCGACATCGCGGAATGCGATTAATGATCAACATGAAAGCAGAAATTATTGAACTTACCCCGAGAAAGCAGGAAAGTTTTAGATCAAATAAAATCTATAGACAAATGTTGACTCACGCAAAGCTTCTGTTTTCAGAGAAGACAAATGATTTAATTAAAAAAACCATCCCGGACAATTGATTGAGTGTTTATAATTTTGTTGGGGTTTTCTTATAATGACTTAGACACGTGTTATGTTTGAGTTTCTCCTGATTTGGAACTTATATTTGTCCCATACACGGCGACTGACATCCGGTGTAACCCACGGCGACTCGGTGATTGTGGTGCTGTGATACTAACAGGAAGTTTCTAGGTTCGACCCCGGCGTGGGCCGAGGACCTTTCTGGTACTCCCTGCGATGCTGGACGAGGGGTCTGGAATGCAACAAAATTCGTCTAGACGTCTGGATTGGATGTTAAAGAGCCATTTACAATTTTAATTCGATGATCAGTACACAGAAACGCCACTGTCACCAGACACCCCAACCCCCCACCTTTATAAACTGCATGACGTGTACCGATCAACAATTTCCAATTACCAATGGCTCATTACTAAGATCGCCAGAGTCCTCCGCTATTGGGTGGTGGTGGGGTGACTGGCCAAACGGTTAGCACGTGTGCGCTGTATCACAAGGTCTGTCATTGAGTCAACTGGCGTGGTTTCGATTTCCCGGTTGTACGTGACAAGGAGTAGGGTCGTCTCTCCAACCTCGTGGGTTTTCTCGTCCTCCGGTTTCCTCCCACTGCTAAAGACCCCTACGTGCAAGCGAATTATTGAAATAAAATTGAACCACGAGTTAGTCCCGAAATGATATAGTTTGTGTCGAGTGGACGTTAAACCACCCCTCCCTCTCTCTCTCTCTCTCCCACTCTCTCAGAGGCGGGGTCAATGTTAAACCCCATCTCTCTCTCTCTCTCTCTCTCTCTTTCTCTCTCTCTTTCTCTCATCCCCGCTATTGTAAATAGTAAAAGTAAATGCTTACATCGTGTACAATGGTAGGATCGAACCTACCACTACATTGAAGAGTTGGATTAAGGCCCTGGGTTACAGATACCTTGAAACCCCTGGAAACACATAAGTACTATGACTTCGTAATGACGTCATAGTGCAATTGGAAGTGATTGCTGGGGTTAAATGTCAATATTCACACGTTATTGATGTATTAGTGCTTAGGTGATTGGGCGGGGTCAAAATACAAAATGGCGCCAAAAATTATCCCCAAGGGGTAGATATGGAGGGATAGTACTGAGCCAATAGATCATTACAAAAATCATCTTAACCCCTCTTAATTCTTGCTAACACGCCAAATTTCACTTCCCCGATCACGCTAGTGTTATTATTATTATTATTATTATTGTTCGATTCATATAGCGCTTCATTACACGTGAAGTGTTTCTAAGCGCATATCACAAACATATATTCCTACACGCACACTTAGATCACAAAACAAAAACTTGCTAATGCCCTATCATGCAAAATCCTCATTTGGGGAAAGGTCTTATAGTTTTGCTGCTTTTAAACTATGGAATAAGTTACCTTCTGAAATTAAAGATTCCCCTTCCCTGCCTGTTTTTAAGAAAAAGTTAAAGACCCACCTTTTTAAAAGCCATTTTAATTGCTAAATGCTTAAGCTTTTTCAGGGTTTACTTTTTTATTATTGTATACCATATTTTATTCTAATTGTGCAATGTTCTTATTATTGAGATGTTTTATATTTTATACCTTTACAATAATGTAATAGCGCCATAGAGCAATCTAAGTATTGGATTATAGGCGCTCTATAAATAAATTATTATTATTATTATTATATACTTCAAACACACAGAAACAGTTATAAATCTATGAAATGTTTACACGCAAGATTCTCATTTACTACAAATTTATAAACAGTATATTATTTAATACTTTGAATCTACATTCACAAATAAAATACCCACTTTTCTGATTTGAGACCCCTCGGCTGCAACCCCTAAAAACCATGTTCAATTCAGGGGCGCAGATCGCCAAAAAGTAGTGGTGGGGACAGTCCATGCGCGGGCGACTATTGGTAATTTCCTAGATTTCTAAACCATCTTCAAAACAGCAAAAAAAAAAAAAAAAAAATCACTTACTTGTAATAATAAGTACACGATTCTTGGCTCAGCTTACAGAACTCCAAAAAATAGAGGATTTGAGTCTTAAATTTTAGATTTAATTGCCTATATTCCACAGAGAGAGATAGAAACCGGTCTTTAAAAATACGTTTATTTAGTATGACAGCAAATCTAGCAATGAAGGGTTCCCCTGATATACAAACTAAATCCTTTAGTTAGGTGATTTATCATCCAGTATACCAAATAAAAACAAAATCTCAGCTATTCCTTAATCCTTTAATACCCAGCGTATCAGATATGCACACCTACATGATATACATATTATTATAATCCGTATGGAATATTTTAATTATTTACTGTTATAATATGAATTATCACTTATTCCCTGTTAAATAAAAATCGGTCACCGGGTGCAGCTGTCCAACTTCAAGGGAGCCACGGTGGCTAGGTGGTTAAGACGCTGGCTCGCTAGCCTGGAGGTCGGGTGTTCGATCCCTGCATTGGCCGAAAAAGTTCATCTGGATTTTCCGACGTGGTTTCCCCTTGTCAGTGGTGCAGAACTGAGGCCCTGACAAGGACAGCTATCTAGTCCTTCGGATGAGACGAAAAACCGAGGTCCCGTGTATACATTGGAATGCACGCAAAATATCCCTTGGCAGTTGGAATACGATATAGGCGATAGTGCCGCTGCCCGGGCAAAATTTCCCTTATAGCACACTGTATGGCGTATGCCCGTCTTCATTAGCCCAGTATAGGAGCAGAACAGTAGGACGTTAAACCTCATTTCATTTCATTTGTACAATTTCAAGGACCCTGGTCTCAAGTGCCTGGGACCAACTCTTTCTGAAATGTCAATAAAAGCAAAACATCGGAAATAAGTGGTGTGGACACAGTATATCATGTCCCCACCGGGATCTGCGCCCATGGTTTAATTCATACGTGCCACATTGGTGAGAGATCTGATAGCGAAACTTGCAGTGCGCTCAGAAACAAAAATGTTTACAACTATACCGTATATCTATGGATATTAATGGCATTCTATGAACGTGTGTGACTGGTGTGCTTTCTATGAACGTGAATTTGGTATGCTTTCTATGAACACGTGAAACTGGTGTGCTTTCTATGAACACATGTATTTGGTGTGCTTTCTATGTACACGTGTATTTAGTGTGCTTGCTATGAACACGTGTAACTGGTGTGCTTTCTATGAACACAGGTAATTAGTGTAATTTCTATGAACTTCTGTATTTGGTGTACTTTCAGTGAACACAAGTAATTAATGCGCTATTTATAAAAGTGTGTATTTAGTGTACTTTTTGTGTATCCGCGTAATTAGTGTGCTTTCTATGAGCACGCGTAATTGGCGTGTTTTCTATGAGCACGTGTCATTGGCGCGCTTTCTATGAACACGTGTAATTAATATGATTTCTATAACGCACGTAATGAATGTTTTTTTCTATGAACACGTGCTTTCTATGAACACGTGTGAGTAGTGTGCTTTCTATGAACACGTGTAATTGGTGTGCTTTCTATGAACACGTGTAAGTAGTGTGCTTTCTATGAACACGTGTATTTAGTGTGCTTTCCATGAACACGTGCAAGTAGTGTGCTTTCTATGAGCACCTGCAATAGGTAAAATTATAAACAAAAACAATCAGGGGGGGGGGGGTAATTCTGATTCATGGGAAGATACAGAGGAGGAAACCCTAAAGTCTGAAGTATTTCAATTTTTATAATATATGGTTTGATACATTTGGAGCAATGAAAATAATGAATAAGAATGTTACACTAATTAAATACCACAACAAGAATCGACAAAAGGTACGGAATAACAATTCAGCGCTTTATTTATTTGACAGAAATCTCTCACGGAGTAGGCTAGAAGGTGCCGTAGGTTTCGGTCAGGCACTATCAAATACAAGGAGCGGTAATACTGCCTTTAATATGTAACATCAAATAGATTAACTGACGTATATATCACATAGACTGCACCAGACACGTGAAGCATTTAATAAATACATTAAAAAAAACATCCGGGATCAAACGGCACTAGGCGGCACACCACGACGAACAGAACGTCTGAGTAATAGAGTTGTGTGTTCTGTGTACGACGCCATGCTGATTACTCTTGATCGGTCCAGGTCATCCTTCCAACATGTAACACAACGTAACAGTTTACGGAATTTAAGTCTGAAATTTTCACTGAATACACAATATAATATAGGATTGGCCGCGGAGTTAATATAAGCCAGAGTATTTGTTATCACTACAAGAAGCCACGAATGATGGAAGGGGTGTTGGGAAAATGTGTTATAGAAAAGTAAAATTTGATGAGGAGAGTAGCTTAAGAAATATATGATAACACTTGCTATTAACATTTTCACTACACCCTTACGAGCACGTATAGCTTCAGACGTCCGTTCCCGATTTCTACTGTTGTGGTTGGTTCCGTTTCTACAGCGCACAGTCGCGTTACGATGCAACAACTCTACGCCAACAAAAAGTCGTTTACCGATGACGATGTAGCAGACCAGCTGTACCAACAATGGCCCGAAGTAGAAAAAAACAGATTCGGAGAATTTAAATAACTTCATGTACTCTGCAGGATTATGCGGAAATTGCGTCGTACAAAATTCCACTGTCACGTTGCGGGCAGGTGGCGCCACTGTATTAAACATGGCGGTTGGAATTCCACACCACAGAGACAAAAACCAAATGATAACAATGACCACGAATGTTCTCTTTTTGGTACACAATAAGTGAGCTCGTATCGGAAACACGATGGCGATGTATCTGAAACGAGAAAGAAAAGGAGAAAATAATCAGCATAATAAAACAAAAAAACCTCCAGTTATCAACGTCTGGCATCTCTGATAAATAAAACCAATGCGGTGATAAATAAAACCAATGATGTTATGGAAGTTAACCTCCAATTACATTTCAATTTATTTTATTTCAAGTCCATTATAAAAAAGATTAGCCTTAATACGTTTTAAAAGAAAACAGCTATACATATAACGCTGATCGATAAATAGGGATTGTTGAAAATAAATCGGCCAAATGCTACGGATTAATCTAAAGAATCATGCTTTTAACATCTGAGAAACCATAATAACTCATCCGTTATCTAAAATGTTCCAGCCTTTTTGAGGGGACCACGTGGGTAAGTGGGTAAGGCGCTGGCTCGCTAGCCTGGAGGTCGGGCGTTCGATCCCTGCATTGGCCGAGAAAGTTCATCCAGATTTTCCGGCGTGGTTCCCCCTTGTCAGTGATGCAGGACGGAGGGCCTGACAAGGACAGTTGTCTAGTCCTTCGGATGAGACGAAAAACCGAGGTCCCGTGTATACATTGGAATGCACGTAAAAGATCCCTTGGCAGTTGGAATTCGATATAAGAGTAGGCGATAGTGCCGCTGCCCGGGCAAAATTTCCCTCATAGCACACTGTATGGCATATGCCCGTCTTCATTAGCCCAGGTTAGGAGCAGAAAAGTAGGACGTTAAACCCCATTTCATTTCATTTCATTTCCAGCCTTTTTGAATTATTTAAAAACGACATATTCCATTGTTATATTCAGATTTCCATTCCTATTTCCTAAAAATTCCGATAGACAAAGTAAGTGTAGGCAGATGAAAGACGTTTGATTGCTAATTGTATTTGAATTAATCTACTCGAGTGTGCGAGTGGGGGGGGGGGGGTACTCTTGCCCGGCGGACCATGGCTCTAGGCCCTACACTTATATCGAATTCCAAATCCCAAGGGATCTTTTACGTGCACGCCAATGTGTACACGGTTCGAATTTATTTAAATAATTAGCAGTGGGAGGAAATTGGAGGACCCGGAGTAAACCCACGAGGTTGGACAGGCGACCCTACTCCTTGTCACGTACACGTGGAGAGTCGAAACCCTGCTACCTGACTCAATGACAGACCTTATGATATAACGCGTAAGCTTTAAACCCGCATACTGAAAATTGTTCGGCAAGATAGGTTGTTAAAGTTATAAATTATTCATGATTAAACAATAGGCCGCTGATATTATTGTTCGATTTATATAGCGCTTCATTACACGTGAAGTGTTTCTAAGCGCATATCACAAACATATACTTCAAACACACAGAAACAATCAAAATCAGGAGAACATAATTAAACGATATCACTGTTGGATATATAAATAGGCCGATGATATTGCTGTGGGAAATATAAATAAGAAATTTACATTTATTTCATGCTAATTATAAATTGGTCTGTTCTCCACCCGATTTCGGTGTTGTTGTAGTCTATACATAAATACATTGTATACAAAACCAAATCGAATATTTATTGTAATAATAAACAGTCAGGTTGTTGAAGACAGAGAGAGAGAGAGAGAGAGAGAGAGAGAGAGAGAGGTTTAACGTCCACTTAACACAAACTAGGTCATTTTAGGACTAACATATGGTTCAATTTTTTTTCAATAATTCGCTTACGCGTAGGGGTCTTTAGCAATATGAGGAAAACGGTGGAAAACCCACGAGGTTGGACAGGCGACCCTACTCCTTGTCATGTACAACCGGGGAATCGAAACCATGCCTATTGACTCGATGACAGACCTTATGATACAACCCCCCAGAGTGTTTCATACTGAAATTAAAAAAAAATGAAAAGGGGTTTTCTTCAACGACCGGACTAATATGAAGACGAGTGTATGCTATGCGGTGTGCTATTAGGGACATACTCTTATTTGGAATTTCAACTCTATGAAATAGAGTATGATGTTAATAGGAATGAGAGAGAGAGAGAGAGAAATGGGGTTTAACGTCCACTCGACACAAACTAGGTCATTTCGGGACTAACATATGGTCCAACTTTATTTCCATAATTCGCTTGCGCGTAGGGGTTTTTAGCAGTGGGAGGAAACCGGAGGACCCGGAGAAAACCCACGAGGTTGGACAGGCAAACCCTACTCCTTGTCACGTACAACCGGGGATTCGAAACCACGCCAGTTGACTCAATGACAGACTTAATGATACAGCGCGCACGTACTAACCACTAATAGGAATGAAATAGAGTATAATGTTAATAGGCATGAAATAGGGTATAATGTTAATAGGAATGAAATAGAGTATAATGTTAATATGAATGAAATAGAGTATAATGTTAATACGAATGGCACAGAGTATAATGTTAATAGGAATGAAATAGAGTATAATGTTAATAGGAATGAGGAGTATAATGTTAATAGAATGAAATAAAGTATAATGTTAATAGGAATGAAATAGAGTATAATGTTAATAGGAATGAAATGGAATGGAGCATAATGTTTATAGGAATGAAAACAAAATCAAAATACTAACGCTAGATCATGTCCCGGACTGGATTAAATCGGTTTAAAAAAGCCCTACCAATAAATGTTCGCGGACAACAAAATGGCGACCGTCTTATTACATAGATCGACGAAATTTCAATTCCACTGATCGGAATTGAACCATTTTGGACTGATATTCCTATTAGAGATTCAACTTTCATAAAAATATAGTTTGCCAGGGATTCCTAAAGCCCTAAAATGGCGCATCGGGACTTTAAATTAAAAGTCGATGGAGAAATACTTTCAACTGCCTGATGTCTGTTCGTTTCATCCAACCTCCGGTTTTCCTCTCATTGCTAAAGATCCCTACGCGCAAGGAAATGTTGAAATACAATTGCCATATGTTAGTCCCGAAATGACCTATTTTGTGTCGAGTGGACTTTAAACCCCATTTCTCCCCCTCTCCCCTCTCTCTGATCGTTTCATTTTGGGTCAGTCGAACAAAATGTGCCTTTCTAATAAAGAACTCCGGAATAAACTAAATTGTATGCACTCATTTCATTCGCCTTGTTTATGATTAAAACTGACCCCGCGTCAAAAAGACTGCCATTCAATACTTTTATTTAAATAATCCTTGTTCGTCAAACCTTTTTCTGTTTCTATACAAATTGAACCCGATATTTCAGACTTCAATTATTGGATATATAAATACCCAACAACCAGTAAATTGAACTCATAAATTTTCTTTTCGTATTTCAGACAAGAAATTATTTTATTTTTGAAAATTCAACATAATTGAGATAAGAAGATCTCAATTCTCAGTAAACCTGTTTCACAGGATAAAAATATAAGCCTGTAGGAATATTCTGATTTTAATTGGTTATTTAAGAAGAGTATAGAGGTTTCGTCTCGACAGCTTGTCTCCGGAAACACGCATTATTCCTGTATATTGTTTACTTGTAATCCCCATCTTTGTGGGGAAATTGGTCGGTAAGGTGTAATAACTGGCCTAAAGCACAGCGCACACAGCAAAGTTCAACTGCTTGCTAGATTCTCCGGATAATAAGCTAGAAAGTAGTGTTGGGTCACCGTAGCAGCAGTACGACGGACAGAGGGGTTGGGGTCACCGCAGCAGTGCTACGACGGATAGTAGGGTTGGGATCTTCGGAGCAGCACTGCAACGGATAGAGGGGTTGGGGTCACCGGAGCAGTGCTACGACGGATAGAAGGGTTGGGATCACCGGAGCAGCACTTCAATGGATAGAAGGGTTGGGATCACCGGAGCAGTGCTACGGCGGATAGAGGGTTGGGATCATCGGAGCAGCACTGCGACGGATAGAACGGTTGGGGTCACCGGAGCAGTGCTACGACGGATAGCGGAGTTGGGATCACCAGAAAAGCTCCACGACGGATAGAACGGTTGGGATCACCGACAAAATAATAACTAAAAAGTTAAATTTGGACTGTTCACGTATTTCAAGGAACATAACTGATTAGAAATTACAATAATATTTTTAAAAATATAATATAAATAACTTTACACAGATTCATATTACTTTAATATGTGTTTTAGGCCGATTTTCGTCTATTTTGAATCTCCGAAGAATAGAGCCATATGCCCTTTAAGCCAAATATTTTAGATTTTTCCAAACAGAATGTGTTAAAGGTCGACACTACTTGTAGTAACCATCCAGTTGGCACGATATTTCCCGAAGCCACGGTGGTTAAGTGGGTAAGACGCTGGCTAGCTAGCCTGGAGATCGCGGGTTCGCTCCCGGTGTTGGCAGAGCAAGTTCATTTGGATTTTGTGACGTGGTTTCCCCTTGTCAGTGGTGCAGGTCAGAGGGCTCGACAAGGACAGCTGAGTGGTAGTTCGGATGGGACAAAAAAAACGAGGTCCCGTGTACAGATTGACGTGCGCCTTAAAGATCCCCTGGCAGCTGGAATTCGATATAAGTGTAGGTCTTAGCATCGATGTCCGGGCAAATGTCCCTAACAGCACACTGTATGGCCTATGCCCGTCTTCATTAGCCCAGTCGGAACAGGACGTTAAACCACATTTCATTTCATTTAAACTGCGGATAATTGATAATAGCAAAGATAATTGTATCACTAGCTGACCAACTATGTGATTAGGGATTATGCCTGGGCTAATGATCAAGGGCATATAATACTCTACACAGGTCATAACTCTATGGAATACAATTACAGCTTATTACCCAGTGGCGTTTTCACTTGGCTTCTATAGTCATTATCAACCAATGATAATATATAACAATATAATAAGACAATATATACCGGTAAAAACTGACCTGAGGCACTCTAATTATACACATGTAAAAAAACATGACATTTGGTTAAAGCCCGTCGTACACGAGCAAATTTTCTTTCATAAATGGAGATTTGTCAGAGAAATTTGCTCGTGTACGAGAGGAAATTTGCCACATTTTCATTTGCCATATGAGATTTGACAAAAGCTGGCATGCATAGCTTTTCGTCGAATAAATG